TTTTAAAAAAGCTGGAGTGAACATTTAAGACAAGCAGAAGAATAAAGCAAACAGCATGTTTCAAGACTCTAAGGAATGAAATCGTAGACATAACAGAGAAAGAGGAGAGTGGTTGATATGGGTGAGCAGTGTCATATCAGGCAGTTCTTCAAGACCATGCTAAGAGTTTTAGGTATTATAAGTCAAATAGGCCCTCATTAACACATTAAAAATAGAATACACACACACATACACACACATTCGCATGCATTCATATACATACAAATATATGATTTAACTTATGTATTAAAAAGTTTATATTGCCTGCTACATAGAGAGTGGTTTATGGGAGTATAATAATAAAAAAACCCTAAAAGATAAACAGTTATGTATTATTTTATATTCTTTCACATTCTGCATATTCTTGATATATTCTCTGTATTCTTTGTACCCTGGGATTAATATTTTTACAGCTATAATTGACATAAGATAAACCACTTGTTCATAATGTATAACTAGATACATTTTTGACATAAGTATTCACCAATGAAACCACCACTGTAATTGAGATAATTAACGTCTATAACTCCCAAAAGCTTCCTCACATCAACTTGGAATCTCTCCTACCAGTCCCTGCTCCTGACCCCAGGTGTCCACCTATGTTTTATGTTATTATAGTTTCCATTGTCTAGAATTTTGAATAAGTGGAATCATACAACATTTGCCCTGTTTGTTGTCTGATTTATTGCACTCAGCATATTGATTTTGATATTCTTTCATATTGTAGCTTATATCAATGGTTCATTTATTTTTACTGCTAAGGATTATTTCATTATATAGAAATACACTATTTTGATTATCCATTTACCTGTTGATGGATTCTTGGGTTATTTCCAGTTTGGGGGCTATTAAAAATAAAGTTTCTATGAACATTTGGGTACACAATGAAATTAAACTTTCAAGAGTTGTGAGTAATGGAATGGCCAGATCATAAGGTAGGTGTATTTTTAACTTTCTGTGAAGCTATTACTGGAGGTGGCTGTATAATTTTACCTTTCCATCAGAAGTACGTGAGAGTTCTGGTTGCTCACATCCTTTTCACATTTGGTATGGTGAATCTTTCATTTCACCTATTCTAGTGGGGGTGCCAAATATCTCATTATAATTTAATTTGTAATTTCATGATAATGAACAACATTGGGTATTTTTTAGGTACTTATTTGTCATCCAGATATCTCTGGGGAAGTTTCTAATCAACTATATTTTGCTCATATTTATATTGGTTTGCTTATCTTACTATTGAAAAGTCATTCTTATAAATTAAAGATACAAGTCCATTGTGGAATATATATTTTTCAAATTTTTTTCAGACTGTATCTTGCCTTTTGAATTTCATAATGGTGTCTTTGAAGAGCAAATGTTAATGTCGATGAAGGCCATTTTAGTGATTTTGAAATATTTTCTAGTTTGTAGTTTTTGTATTTTAATTAAGTGATCTTTGCTAAATACATGTCATTAAGACTTTTTCCTATGTTTTCTTCTAATTTTATAGTTTAAAATTTACATTTACATCTATCATCCTTTTTGAGTGGATATA